TCCTGCTTTTGGTTATTAAACAACCTTTGCCCGTATAGATTCTTTTGATGGTCTCCGAACACAAAGTACCAAATATTTTTGGCTTTTACATGTATCATTTTCACAGCGTTGCAACTTATATGACTTTTACATTTACACCACGCGATGTCACAGGTTTCCTTGGTGGCCTCTGCCTCTCTACTTTACTTTACTTTTCTCTTTCTTTCCCCGAGGGCTGATAATATCCACAGAAACTTACCAAAGATCCCTCCTGGCCCGGGGGTGCGACTGAATAAATGTACAAAGCTAAACGTTGGTCATAGCAGGTCTCCAACACACTCCTACCCTTTCTGATCTACGTACACTGGACAATTGGAGCTGGACGCCCTTATTCAGAGGAGTTGATCAGCCGTGGCCTACATGCAAAAATGCCTTCAAACCAATTGATCACCACAACTTACTTGAACCAAACCTTGACTAGCCACCTGTGGTACCGCCTGTCAAGCGTACAATCACGTGCTTATGGCTTGTCAACAATCTCAGACTGCTCAAGTGACAACGAAAATATGTCCCCCAGGGTACCAAGAGTTTAGCGACGGTGCTCTAGGACGTGGTGTGTTTTCGCCTGACAAGGGCTCTCCCTATAAAATGGCACCTATGTCCGTTTACTAGCACTGTGACGAGGCGGATGTGAATCATCTCCAACTGACGTCACTGCCCATGAGTACCCAACCAACCACCCTCCCACCATGGACGTCACCCAACCCTTCTCACACCATCCACGTGCTCAAACGCAATTGCAGGGGCACATATTCAAACTCGTATAACAGATAGACACGTGCACACCCACGTACATGTATGAACTCACAGATCCAAAGTTAATGATTAAATGGCACCATCTCCTATACTTTCCCCGATGTTTAGTAGTACGTTTAACACGATAATGGCCACATAGACGTGCAACGCATTGCACGAGAATAAAAATTTGTTTATTTAAGCGAACTAAAGTAGATTATGGGACGTGGGTACGTTTAGAGAAGCCAATTAGGAAGACATGAATATTAGACAAATAGCATTAGTACAATATAGTAAAACCATCACCTGCAACACGGAGACCCATCAGGCAAGCAAGCGCTTAATAAAGCGAATGCAGCAATGCTACGAAATCTGCGCTCCCATTGCCCACGTTCCCTGCAGAACCCATCGTTGTCTCGGTGCCGGCCCTGAATGGCCTCTCACATGGCTCGCTAAGCCTACCTGACCCAGAAACTCGCGACCGCATGTACTACAGCACCATGCGCTCGATATCAGTGGAGTACAACCCATCGAGGCCTGCCGCTTCCACACTTGTGGCCTCTTCTCTGCATGCTTGAGATCGTACTCCGGCACTTCGGCACTTGCCCTCGTTAGCATACCGCGCCACGCGCGCCTATCAACTGCCTTTGATTCCCATGCTCTGAACTCAAGCTTTGAACGTGAAACGCTCAATTTGACGATCTGCTGGTGAGGAAGCTTTGGTTTCTCCGCATGTCACTTCCCCACACTCAGGTGATCATATAATAGTTGTTTCGGTATTCGCGTCGAATCCATATACATAACACATGACCGCGCCAACACATTTGTCTCAACAAACGTAGCAGTCCACTGCCTACCTTCCATTTCGGCACAGCGCTTCGTGTCTGCAACTCTGTCGCACCACCGGAGGCGCAGAATCAGTCACATACAACGTGGATGGAGGCGTCGCATATCACACCGGTGAATCGTTCAAATTTCGCTACTGCATAGAGAATGGACAGCACCATGGATTTGTGTACCAACCGCTTCGTGTCAGCGGTAAGCTGATGGTTGTTCCACACTGGGTGCTCTAGCTTCCCGAATGTCGCCACTGCCTTCGAGAAGCGGATACGCAGCTCACTGTGTAGCTGCTGATCAGTCGACATCTCACTCCTAAGGAAGCGGAAGCGCGAAGTGGTTTTTAACATTTCAGTACCAATACTGATTTGCGGCCCGATCACAGGTGAAGGTGGAAAGAGACAGACAGTTTGGCTAGTGTTGCTGAGCAGTCCGAAGTTGGGCGCTAACGAAGTCCGAGTACTAGGCATGCGCTGCAACTCACCCGAGCTGTGTGCAAACAACGCACACCTGTCAGTAAACAGCAAATTAGGTGTAATTGCCCCACAGCCTAGGGTTTTACACATAAAAGCCAGACGTACAGCAATCCGCGCTCAAGCTGGTTCTCCAAACGGACACCGTAAGCAAAGCCGTATCAAAAGCACACGAAATCATTGCGTGAGGATAAATATTGAACAGGGCTGGAGCTGAGGAACAGCATGGCACACCAGGGACAACTGCGACAACTGAGGTCTCTCCAATCAGCTGCATCCTCGCCTGCATACCACCGTACTGACATCCAGTTAAACATTTACAAATTTTGGTAGACCACGAAATTTATCCCACGCCAGCCACAATGCTTCGCGGTTCACTGTATTACATGCCACGGTGAAGGCAGCAAAAAGCCCTTGCGACGGCTGGTGTGGTTCTCTACACTTCCGCAATTGAGGAGCCGAAAACATCACAGCTATAGTGACACGCCCAGAAAGAAGTACATGCTGCCTTTCCGCCGCGTTAGGTTCCACAACCTGACTGCCTAGGCAGTTGAGCAGGATTCGGCTATTACCATACCCACAAACCTCAGCTAGTTGATACCACGACAATTCGTGCAAAATCGCTTGCTCCCTTCGCCCCTGTAAAGCGGTAGCACAGGCGCATCCTTCAGCCCCTCAACCACCCCTCCCATAATGTATTCGCGTTGCACCAAGTCGGGAAGCGCAGTCGCCAACGCGGGTCCGCCTTGTTTCCTTACTTCAGGCGGGATCCTGTCTGCAACAGCACACTTGCCGTTTCGCCGTTGAGCATTTGCGCTCTGCTTCGTATGTGGTGCGGGCTTGTCCGCCAAACTCGCCTTCATATCATGCTGCTTAGCGCCGTTTAAACTAGGCCAGTCAATCTCTGTACGGTTTCTTAAGATACAGTCAGTGTTCCTGTCAGATTTGCATTATGTCCGCATTCAGTGTGCACCTGGCACTCTTAGTTGCATCCAGTAGCTTCCTCAGCGGTTCTAATCTCGGTTAATACACCGCCTACAGGCAGCCGAAGGATGTCCTGTGTTAGCGGTGTTTGGCGTAGCGTTCTATCCGCTTCACCTCCGTCTACCATGCAATAGTGACGCGACGGAGTTTTCGAGTCAACGTTCGTCGGTTACGCCCCAAAGGTCTCGCCTTCATTACGTCAAAGTGGTCTGCTATGTTTGCAGCAGATGCTGCAATCTTCTCCGACGCAAATGCACCAAACTTCGCGTTAGTCTCATGAAACCAATCTTGCGCTTACAGCTTGCGCTCCGAGGTGTTCTCCTCGGCGGCCGCTGTCAACTGCCCGCGAATGTGGGGCCACGGGTCTCCCACTGTGCCTATGCATCCCGCCTCACACAGGCGTGCAACCAACGCCTGCTCTAGCCCAATACGTTTCTCCACAGTATCGAGGGAGAGAATGGTACATTTACACCGATTCACGACGGGAGTGCAAAACATACATTTAGGAAACTGTATGCCCAGTTTGGTCCACGCCACTTTATGGTCTGTGCCACGCAGCTTTCCGCAGTACACTTGTCATGCGCAGTTCACGCATATCACGCTGACGTAAGATGACATAGTCGAGCAGGTGAGCTTGACCACTCCGTGGGTGCTTCCAAATTGCCATAGCACTTGCACTCAGGGCTATCGGAGTGTTCATGATTATCAGACCGTGAGTGGCATACGGTGAGAGCTGCGCGTCATCTTTCGCAATCGCTAAAACAGGTCCATGCGGACCGGTGCTATCTGTCCACACCGATACATCACGCCCGACGGGCGAATCGAAAGCACCCAGCAGAAATATTCGGTCGCTCCTCGGCACAGACCGTATCACCGAGGATAACTGAGTGTAGAATTGAGCACGTGTCCCATCAGCATAACCCTTGGTCTGGCCGTACGCGTGTATAATCATAGCAAACGTAGGTCTTCTGATTCGTAAGCGAACAGTCATCCGTCGCGCGCTGATGCCTGTTTGGTTTACCCACCAGGTAGCCATGGAGGCGATCGGACATAACAATCCCGACCCCGTGTTCACGTGGTGCTGAGTTGGCTTTTCACACCCAGTAGAATGTGTAGCCAGCAGCTGCTTCGCTGAACCCAACTTGCTCAGCGAGCCGAGTCTCACTGAGGGCCGAAATTAACGCCATACTAGATATTTTCACCCACAGATATACTTTAACTGCTATGGCTAACTTGTAATTTTGTAAACTTCCCCGTCACTTGTCTTTCTGTTAACATGGTCATACATGTATATAGTGCTTTGTGTTGTCCATAATAGGATATTCATTGCTTTATTTGTCTGTCATTATTGATCTTACTAGTAAACGGCATAATTGAAGCTGCTAGCACAGGATTGTCCGTTTAGAGTTTGACCAAGGTTAGATGCATTCTGTATTTATGAACTTAAAGATTTTGTATCACCCCGTCAGCATCTATATGAGGCCCTGCCAAAGATGGAATATTCAAGGGGCGTTTCCCTTATGTGCCCATCGGTGTTGCACTGTCAAAAGTGACTGCCGTAAACCCGATAATAAGCGCAAACATTTGAAGAACGTATATGAAACCAAAGTGGCTAACATGCAGAATGGCGAGATTAATCCACGACTTCCATTTGAATGCTTAAAGTGAGGCAATTCTAACAGCGAATTACCGCCGAGACATTTGGATACGGTCTTTTGGTGTAAGGCTTTGTCACGTTCGCGATAGGCGCAAACTTGAAATTTAATTAATGTGTTCAGGTCCATCGTTGAAACCCACACATAAATAATCGTTCCTCATTGTTGACACAACATGACAAAGTATATTGTGTTTAGCCGTTTTTAATTAATCTACTACTTGCTAAAATCTCTGTTCTCTCCTGGCATAATCATTGGCGCCAATGAGGCAATAATAGTGCTCTCGCCTAAAAATAACTTTAACCCTAATCCTAAACTTTGACGCATGACCAGATATAATATTAAAATTCATTGTGACTGCTAGGCTTTAAATGGAGGATAAATAGAAGCCAACTTCAATAATAACAGCGGACCTAACATACCAGTCCACCGCGCCCATGTTCCTGGCTCTATGCATCCGCGAATTTTACTGATCCTTGGTGAGGCATATCCCGCTTCCTCACTTCCCACCTCATGCACATGATGTTCTTATTGTCACCTTGAATCACTTGTGCTGATACTTGGTCTTGTTTACTTGTGTTTGCTTCTCCTGAAGTTCAAGTGTCAAACTGAACAGCCTGTACTATCTTGCCCCCTGCTATTTTACTTGTCTGAACTTTTGGACTTCAGGAATCCGATGCATGTAGAACTGTGATCAAATGAGACAAGTGTTGTTGGTTTAAATTTTTCCTCCACCCTCCGGAGATGATATCGAGCATGTCCGAGATAGAGGAAGAATTAGATGGTGGTATTGTGATGGATCAACTGCGCCATTCGGAAGTCAACCACTACAATGACCGAGATTACGTTTCCTATACTAATTTTGGAAAGTCAGGAAATGACTGGGTTAACCTGCTTTCTCGTCAAAAGGTGCACCTCGATGATCCTAGTCCTCGGACGTCTCATTTGAGCCCAGAGCCCGGCACAATATCGGATTTGGCTTCGGTAAGTTTGCATTAGTGCGTTACAAAACTGTCACAACTTTTGCTTGCTCTGAATGGTTTCTTCACCGAATATCGGCTGTTATCTACATTTGCTTTTCCTCGTAAATATCGCGGTTGCTTTTACGTGTCTAGTGATTTAGTTCACCATCTGCCTACCGCATAACACGAGTGGCCTATGGAGCGACCTGAGTGCCCCTGGCCGACCCAGCAAGACACATATGTTGCGAATTTCGAGTGCATATACTTGGAAGCGGTGGTGCGACTGAACCTCGTTGGCACAGGAGGGGAACCTTATCAAACTTAGGTTGCTCGATGACGAAACCGCGCGCAACGAAAAAGGCACTAAGCAAAGAAATGGCGCCTCGTATTTGAATATGCATCCAATGTTTCGTTAATACCACCGACATTTACTTTGTCCTTTTTAATAGAATCGCACCTTTAATCGTCGTGATGGACCGATAGACTACCGCTCAGTAAACGCTTTTTCTACCCCTGAGCATCTCAGTGCCAAACACTTGCGACGAATGTCGATCACTCAGAAGGAATTCACGTTGCGTCCTTACTACTTCACTACAGTGTTGATGGTTTCTGCGACCATGGAAAATGCATATGTTACATATGTTAAAGACTGTTCCGAAGAACGTTTTCCTGAGTGACTGAAATTCGTCAAAACTCACACTGAAAATTGACGACCACTCTCGTGGACATTATTTTCGCTTGTGTTATGCGGGTAGCAGTAGTATCAGTGGGAGTATTAGTCATATCAGTAACAATAGTAGTAGACTAATTATTGTGATTTTTCTCGTTTAGGTCCTCTTTCGAGCTCGGAATCAACTGTTGGTTTTGGGAAACACTCCTACTTCTTTTACTGATGAGCATTACGTGGCAGCTTCAAGTCTTCAGTATTGACTGTTTGCGAGGTTGTGATGGCCTCGACCGCATCCTCACTTCTCGCCATTTGCTGGAGCACCGTCACATATATTCGCGGCCCACCGTTGTCGTGTTCCTCAACATCACAGCTGCCTTCGACTCGGTGAAATAATATGGTCTTTGGGACTGTATTCTAAGGAAAGGTGTACCCGAAAAATATATGGATATTATTCCAGCATTTTGCGCACATAGCTCGCGCACAACGAAGGCTTACGGTAAGCTGTCGCTGTCCTTCAATATCTCCAAGAATGCCTGCTGTCACCATTCCCCTTCAACTTCGCTATTGACGAAGTCATGGAAATTGCACTCACTGGACTCGAAAGTGTGGAGGTGCTCCCATGTGAACGTCTTCTTAACTTGGAATATGCTGACGACATTGCTCTCATCTGTGACAGCCCACAAACGTGCAAAGCAGCACTAGACAGATTTGCACTGACTGTCAGCCATTTCGGGCTTTGATTTGCACCCTCGAAGTGTAAAGCTTCCCCCAAAGATTGGAATCTACCGCTTCCTGCGCTGACGCTTGATGGAGATCAGCTAGAATTCCTTCACAAATTCAATTATCTAGGCAGTTGTACCAGCGCTGTGGAGTCGAAGACGAGGCCGCAAACCGTGTAACAAAAGCTTGAGACGTTTTTGCATACCTTCGCCACCTATGGCGCCGGCGCATTACTCTTCTTGTAGAGCAGTGTACAATGCAGCCGTATGTTCGGCTCTACTGTACGGTTGTGCAACCTGATCCATTAGATTTGCAGACGTAAATAGGCTAGTTACGTTCGATCACTGGCGCCTTTGCAATTTGGGTGATATCTGGTGGGAACACCTTGTGGGCAATGAGTGTGTTCGGCGCCTTGTTTATGACATAGGAAGTGAAAGTGAACCGCTCATCACCGTTATTTCGCAAACCAGGCTTTGATGACTGGGCCACATGTTGCGCATGTCAACACGCTGACTCACGTGACCTGCGTCTGCGCGACCTGGGTGTGGGTGGAAAAAGGAGACCAACCGACGACATGTTCAAGAGGAATGAAGGGCATTACTTCGAATTCGGCCTTGGGGTCCGAGAGACCACCAACACCTCTGGCTGGGTACACTGGTTGACATAGATAGGAGCCGACTTTGATGGCGTTTGTGTGGTGAGTTTCTTTGTATCTCCTGTTGTCGGCCGGTGGCCGAGTGGTCTGCACGTTTGCTTTGCAACCATAAGGTCACCGGTTCGAATCCGCGTAGGGGTGGACGTTCTCGCGGTATACTCAGCCCGCGCGCGACTGGTGGTGGTTGCGCGGCCGCGAAGCGCCGTTACGGCGTACAGCTAACACATTATTTTATTTTTTTATTTTCCCTCCTGTTCCCGCTTAGTCTCTAACCGCGACCTCTTTCCCGAAGCATGCTGTGACTATTGCAGCACAACAGCCGGCTGCTACCTCTCCGGAACGGTGTCCATTCGTTACTGGTGACTCAGCTGACGCTTCTGCGTTGCGTCGTTTTTTCTTTCATGTATTGCGGCACGGTGGCTGAGGTGTTCCCACCTCTAACGTTTATAATGATGATAACGATAGCCTCTCATAAGCCTGTTTTTTGGTACTCTAGTCCTGCACCTAGGAGCAGATAGGAACATGTGTGCTACTTCCCTATGCGCTTTCCTGTAATTAACAAGCTAAAATGTGGTTCAATTCCCACTTATGTTCGGTGGTTTATGAAATACTTGCATTATATATGCATGCATCTGCGGTTGGCGGCACCCGGTTCCAGATTTGCCTGTCATTGTGGCCTCCATAGGACAGACGTAGGACGCCTGCCCTTACACAGGGACCATGGGTGGTTTGCACCGCACCACCCACAGCTCCGTCCACACACCATATCCAGTGTAAACCCGAAGGAATAAGGCCAGGGGCATGTGGATGGGAGCCACGTTTCATCAACAAAGCCGGCACACATTCCTTCACTGGCAGACACAAGTACGGTGTGTTTGGGGAATCAAGCGTGCACAAGACGATGACTGGACCGTAGTCCGCTCCACACGCAATCCTTGTGCAAAGAACCGCCCTTTGAGCCTAGCACGGTCACGAGGACCGTGCACCCTCGTCCCCTCCAGCCAGTATAGACGAGGTGGTGGGTAATAGACACGTACGCACCATGTCAACATGCACATCAAGCGCAACCACACCGGTAATCGATGCATATATACTTTTCTTCATACACACACGTGTACGTATATATGCTCAAATGTGTGTCACTGTATCCTTTTAGACACGGTTGATTCAACCTATCCATATCTGCTAACTATCCTACATTGTACACTGAAATCTAGTTTTCTGAATTTACATAATGAAATTAGGCAACCTCCTAATAAATCGAATATTTTCTCCTAGGTGTGAGCGAAAGCTTTGTTTGTGAAATTTCGTTATTTAGTCCCTGCGACAATTATGTTCAAACTACCACCTTACAATTTTGTTTTTAGTTTACACTTGTGATATCACTCGGCAGTCATCTGGATATGTATAATTAGATCACCTTGCTGGTTTCGCAGCTCAGGTGCATTGGACTTCCGGATGCAACAACAAATCAGCAGTACGTCAGCCATTTGAACTGAAGCTTCACTGCCATATAACCATGATGACCTGCGATAAGGAATAATAAAAGGGAGACAAAGAGGACTTATCTGAAATCCTTACTTCTATATGCAAACATTCAGGGTCATGCGCCTACACCTTGCGTTAACGACATATTGTCACAAACAGCTGGCTATTATGCAAAGATAAGGCAGCATTGACGAGACAGCTTCCTGCGGCTTTCACTGCCCCGCCTCATAATCAGCCATTATCCCGCAGACAACTCAGCACCAAACACATTTTGAACAGGCAATCCGATTAGAAGACGACAGCAGACGCGCCACTGGTGTCGGCTGCTAGCCGTCCTGTAAAGTCGGGCCAAGCACAAGGAGATTCAGCAACGACACCACGTTTGATCGTCAGTGACTTCATTTCCCGCTGCCAAGTCAACTGTCCACCGCGAGCCTTGCGCCACCCTACACCTGGCAGACTAAACAATGCCCTCCCAGGTAAGCGGTGACCGGGCATACGTAGCACGTGCCCGAGCCAACACAACTTGTTCAGTGCTATCTGTTGTTCTAGGGAGTTGGCATGAATATCACTACATAGTACTCGCCATCGCAATGAGGCTGGACCTTACCGTGGTGCGATGGTTTGCGTGCCTCAGAGATCTATTGAGCTATGCTGGGTGGTGCTTTTTTGCACCTTCAGAGCCACTCATACCAGATTGGTCAATGGTTAGAGGCCAGACAAACTCAGCCTCCTGGTCCTCCAAGTTGGGGGTTGGAATGGGGGTGGCTCCTCATTTCATAAAACGGGCTCTGTAGTCCATCCCATCCCATCCCGACCCCCATTACTAACCTTCCTTCTATAATTCCCAGCTTAATTGACAGCAGCCGAAATGCCACTGGAGTAGAACCATCTGCAGCCACCATCCCACAGCACCCATCGGACGCCTATCGGCAAAAGTCCCTTATAAGGCCACGCTGTCCCGTTTCCATGGGGGCATTCAACGTCCGCACTCTAAGACAAACAGGTCAGCAGGCTGCACTCGCACGCACCTTGGACACACTGGGTATTGATGTGTGTTGTGTGTCCGAAACTAGGATCAATGACCCTAACGGGGTTATTGAATTAACTGCACCCGGCTTATCCTTGCGTTATTGGTTGCACGCATCCGGAGACGCCGATGCAGCACTCACGGCTCAAGCTGGTGTAGGTATCATTCTAAGCTCCAAGGCTGAGCCATCGTTGGTTGATTGGATTCCGGTGAACAGCCGTTTATGTGCAGCCCGTTTGACGACATCAGCTAAGGTGGAGTCGCAAAGTAGTACAAAACGCTGTTTGTTTGTGATTTCCGTTTATGCTCCCACCGACTGCAGTTCTAATGCAGTCAAGGACACATTCTATCACGAGCTGAATGCACTATTACGCAGTGCTACTAGTTCAGATATTATATTACTTGCAGGGAATGTGAACGCACAAGTAGGGCGTCTGAACTCTTCAGAAGCTCAGCTGG